TTCTTTTGTTCCGGTTGAACCGCCATACATGTTGGCTGCGAAAACTGAAGATCTTACGAGCTAAATGCATGGTTTAGCGCAGGTTGGGTTCGACAGACTAGGAGGCCTTCAGTTTAGAGGTGCGGTTGTCGGAATTTCCCCCGTCTTCCCTCCCCACTCCCCCAACACAAAAGACTCCCCTAAGCAAATCGACAGCCTGTTCAATGCTTGAAGGCGGCGAGTCCTTTCCAAGTTTGGGCTCAGGCTTGTCGGTTCAGGCTTGAGGTTTGGTCACTATAGGTGGTTTGCACGTGTTCCTGATGCTGCGATTGCACTTCTACCAACTTGGTGAAGTTTAATGCCTCGAGGTAGCGCTCAGACCGGTTGCATGTGTTGGTGTGCCATGTTTGTTTTGTTTGTTGGTCCCGGCGAAACTTGCTAATCTGGACCTATGGCTCGGATTCGCCCCTTGCGTTTCATTTCGATGACCATTCATCTGTTCTGAACAAACGGCAGCAGCCAGAAGATTGGTTTCCATTTGTCTGCTTTTCATTACGCGATGCATGCGGCGTCAGTCTGTCGACGGAAAAAAAAAGTTCAGCGCTTGTGGCTTCATGCATCGAAACTAATACATGAAACGAATTCAGGGACGCTGGAACGATGTATTAGGAAAGCTCGCAAAATGAACAAAATTGTGGGAAGCTCCTATGAGGCTGTCCAGCAGTCTTCCTTCGCAATGGTGCGGGCTTACAGGGGACACACTTGGGGCGATGAGTCTTGCAGCTTGATGTCGCGGGCTTCCATCAGGAGGCAACACTGCTGCCCCATGATCCACAATCGGCCTCTGAGCTCGGCTGGGGCATTCATCAATCTGTTGCCGTCGGTGTCCCAAAAGCGGACCTTGGCCAGGTTTGCTTTCAGCTTCAGGGATAGTCTCTTGCTGCGCGTCTGCTTGATGCAGGACTGCAACTGCGAATCCAGCTTTTTGGCGGCGGCTTGGGTGGAAGCCTGCTTCTCCAGGTGATTCACGATTTCTTGCATTTCGGACGTGAGCTCGAGCACCAGGCTGACACGTTCGGAGGTTGCGCGTCGGAGCTTTGCTCGCCTTTGCCAAAGAGGCTGGGTTCGTAGAGGATTTCGAGGTCGTAGAGGATTTCGGCCCACTGGGTTGTGTTCCAGCACAGAAGCTCTGCAGGCAGAAATTTGCCGCCCTTCTGGTTTGTGAGCGCGTCGCCAAGCCGGAGGTCCATTTTTGAAATGCGCGATTCCATCGAGTTCGGCGGTTCAGCTCTTTTCTTAAAAGGTGAACAAAAAAAGATGTCCGACCTGAACTGGAGAGAAACATTGCTCAGCAACCTCGGCATGGCCTGCTATTGGAGTGGATTTTTTGCCCTGATGTGGCTGGCCTTGAACCCCGTCATGGAAAAGGAAGATCTAGCCGTTGCCAATGCCGCGTCGCCTGCTGGAGTTATTCTCAGGAACGGGTTCGATGGGCAGAGCCTTCGAGGAGCTGGGCTGGGAAGTCACGTCGCTTGACATGGACGCCAAAGCCACCCCAACGATTTGTGCGGACATTTGCTGCTGGGAGCCGCTGCCCAAGTTTGCTCCGGGTCACTTCGACATGATCTGGGCCAGCCCGGTGTGCACCGAGTACAGCAGGGTCTTGACTCGACGCCCCAGGCGCTTGGAAGAAGGAGACCGATTAGTGCAGAGAGCTTTGCAAATAATCAACGATCTGCAACCTCGCTTTCATGGCAGGGTTGCCGTGGCAGGACGTCAGCTACTGCACCTACGGCTACTCCTACCGCAAGCTCACCAGGATCTGGGGCAACTTGGACTGGGCGCCTGAGCGACCCGTCTGTGGCGTTGGCGGCTTTCGTTGCGAGGAATCCAAAAGCCGCGGTAGCCACCCAGGAGTAGCGCAAAGGGGCTCCTTTCGCCGCGTCGGCAAAGTCATCCAGAAGTGCCACACGCAAGACCAACTCTACAGCATCCCGCCAGCGCTGTGCCGCGAGATCGCTTCAGCAGTCAACGCTAGGGTCGTGACTTCGCCTTAGGAGCCT